AACCCCTATGTTCAGAGTTGCACCACACAGACTTCGCGCCCATGGTTTCACTGTGTGCAATGTGCGCTGCATGTGTGTGCGGGGTGCGGGGTGCGCGCATGATGTAGGTCACAAGTGTGGTACTAATGTGTGGTGTAATCATGATATTCGACTGACTTTCGCTTTCACTGTAGCTGCAACTTCGACTCAAGGTGCAGCTTGTTTTTTTTTCGATTGCCTTTGATTCAGCAGAGGTTCATGGACTTAGCGTTGACTTTGATTACAAATTTTTGCCCCTCTTTGACTCGGAAGTCATTGACAGTGATTTTTTTCGACTGGGATTTTTACCTGCCTTGCACTCAGAATGTTACGGAGAATTCGGGGTGTGCAATTGGACGTTGACCTACATTTAACTTCGACTTCCATCAGGTTCCATGTGGACTTTGTCTCCTTTCGAGTTCCTGAGGAGGATTCGAACTCATGGTCTCTATTTATTAACAGTTTTCGCTGGACACGGTTTCCACCACTAGCACTGTCGCTCCCCACCAATAGAGGGAGCCCCGCAGGTGTTAGCGGTGGCTGCTCTTGTCAGCACCACTAGCACTGACGGGGAAGTGTTTTACCAAAAAAAAAAAAAAAAAAAAAAAAAAAAAAAAAAAAAAAAAAAAAAAAAAAAAAAAAAAAAAAAAAAAAAAAAAAAAAAAAAGTTTAAAAAAAAAAAAAAAAAAACAGGTTTCGTGCTTCTATCACCATACCTAACAGTAAAAAAAAAAAAAAAATGTTTTCGTGCGTATACCGTCCGGGGAACTGAACTCGGTCTATGTTGACTTTGACTTGCCTCAGGCTTGTGAAATTGACTCGCAATTGCTTCCGGGGGCCAAGTCCGACTAGCAGCGTTGAGCTACCGCAGCGCCTGAATCTGGACGTGTTTGTGGACGTGCAGTTCAGGAAACTCAACACCATTTCTGCACATCCCCGCAAAAGCGTCCAGATTCAGGCGTTGAGGTAGCTCAATGCTGCTCGTGGGACTTGGCCCCCAATTGAAGTCTGACTCTGGCTTTTTAACTTTTCTAAACTGCTTCACTATTTTCTCAGATGTCACCTTATTGGGATTTTTCATGCACTTTTGTGAACTGCAACGGCATTTCGTCATCATGCCGTTTTGACACTGAATATTCTTACGATGACTGGACCCTTTCCTGCTGTGTGTGTGTGTGTGTGTGTGTGTGTGTGTGTGTGTGTGTGTATGTGTGTGTGTGTGT